GCCTCAAGCTTTCTACCACCCCTGACGTAGTGAAGATAACTATTAACACCATTGCTAAAAGACTTCTTCATTTTCTGTGGACCTGATCATATGAGACGCTGTTAATAATGCCGATACCCTTACACATCGAGTTTGTCATAGTCAGTGGAACGCCTGTCAAACCGCTGTTGCATAGTTATATCATTTTATACAATAATTATACTATAATTATAATTATAATTATATTTATACAATAATTTACTCGATAAACAGATAAAAAGATAGGACGTCACGAGAACATCCATGAAAATCCTTGAACATTCATCTTCAGTCTAAATATTGTTTTATGAAATTTTTTAAAGGCTAAAAAGGTTTTGACTGATGTACTGATTTGTTTAGGACGAAACTGTGCAGCTGATACTATCATCCCAATATAGACGAACTAACTACTTGAAAAGCTACTACTCGAAAGCTAAAATTAAACACGCAACCTTTCGCGGTTTACTCTTAAAACCAAGCTAATGGTTGCACTTGTCTTTGGAAATGTATTCCTTCATCAAACTGTTTCCAGGACGATTGAGTATGATAGTTAGTTTATTTTATATATTTGGAATTCAGGTTTAATGATGACGATGTAAAGTCGAATTCATTATGCTACGCACGATATCCAGCCTTGATCATGCGGGGTTTAATTTCGAAACGGCTCAGTGAGGTAAACAAAAGACGCCAGCACCTGCTTCTGAGCTAGTTTGGTGTCTTTCTTTCATTAGTAACGCCATATGCCTTCCAGGAATTTTATAGTAATTGTGTTTGAGTGATATGTGAAGAGAGTAGAGCATGAAACAGTGATAATTGTTTGTATGGTCTATGGGTGTAATTATGTGGTATGGTCTTGGTTTCTGATTGTTTTAAGAAATGACATAATTAATGAATTCCAGGGAAGCTTTCAAAAGTTATATTTGTTTCAAAATTTTCGTCAACCTCTTCAAATCGTAGACAGAAATAGTCTTTTTAGGCCCTCATTAAAAAAGGCTATAAAATAGTGATTTGGAAGATCATTACATAGTCAAACTCTATGTTAGTGGTAGTTTCACTCTTCGGCTGTATCACTTTTGTTCCGCGGTTGAAGGCTAATTTTTTCACATCACTTTTGTTCCGAGGGTCAGCAGGTAGATTTCGGGACCGGTCGAAACATCACTTTTGTTCCGCGGACATCTCTCTTGTTCCGTGAGAGAGGAGGCTGTACTCTCCCTCCCCCAAACCCTCTCTTTTGCCCTCCTCCTAACTATGTCTTTCATAAGGGCTTTAAAACTCGTTAAATTAAAATTTTCTCATTAACAAAAATATCAATAGTGTAAATAATTCAACCTAACCTGACCTATGAAACAAAGAATTAGGAATAGCGCGAAAGAGAGGATTTGGGGGAGGGAGAGTGCAGCCCCCACTCTCGCGGAACAAGAGTTATGTCCACGGAACAAAAGCAAGCTACCATTTGAACCCCGGAACAAAAGTGATGTGAAGAAATTAGCCTTTATCGGCGGAACAGAACCGACACACGGCATTCTGCTAACCATTAATAATTGATCACCTATCGACCACTCACTCCCCTTACAAATACACGGAAGGATTAACTCTTTAAGTAATGCAAGCTTATAATTACAATATTTAAAATTTTAAATACTAATAGTGATTACTTTCTGTTAATTTTTTGCTTCAGTTTTCAAAACAAATATCAAGAGTTTTTTTTTTATAATCAGGTTTTACTCCGCAAAAGGCCTTCAAAAACTTCTCGAAACACAAAGTTCTTCATTGCCATCTTAAACGCTTTTTCGTCTTATTGTAACAAATACATGCCTTGCGGGTCTAAAGTAGACTTTTTACTACATAGGGCGTAAAAAGAGTGTTTAGGCCATGTGGAGTAAAAATCAGCTGTTGTCAACTCAGTAGTAAATTTTAATTGTAAACAAAATTGCATCGAAAGTATGTATCGATTGTTAAATTGATTAGAGTTAATTGTTGCCTTATTGTAAATAGTTGACATATCGATTGTATAATGCACACTAACAAATTCTTAATAGATGAAACGATTGAATCACTGAACAGCTGATAGTTTCCATTTGGAAATTAAATTAAAAACAAGTAAGAAGTTTTGAGAGATTATCTTTAGTTTTGTTCAAACATAGTTTGAAAGTAGTAGTTTCCATAGTTTGTTCAAATAATGGTACAATATGACGAAAAATATAGTTCCTCACACGGGGAATTTTCAACCCGTGAAAAATATATTATAATTTCCACACGTATTTAATTTAATTTAATAATTCTTCAACAACTTAACCAAAAGCACAACCAAACGGCCTAGTGAGTGCATAATTTACATACCTTGTCCAAATTAGCATAATGCAATCAATTAATGGCCTTGATGCCTACTTCTAAGGGCATTCCTGTTACTTTTCCTGGACCCTGCTTGTCCATACTGGATGCCGGCCAATTACAAGTGTATAATGTGGACTTCTCTCAAACACCCGCATCGACTTTCCATCCACAGCTCGTTAGGATAACTGACAATTAAACACCTTTCACGTGTCTCGCGTTTGGCAAGATTTTTGGACGTCTCCAGGTTTCTCCGTCAATCGTTAACGGTTCGGTCCAGTTGAAATGATATCGGGTTGATTGAGCGAATATTTTAGCAAAACTTGGGTGTGGATTGAGGAAAGTTCGATAAGTAAGGAAAGTCTTTTCGTGTGAGAGCAAAGTTTTAAAGAAATTATGTTTGGTTTGTGGGTGTAGTTAAACAGCAGAATTGCGATTAAAATAAATTTCATGATGGCCACTGGATCGTTGAAATTAGCACTAATAAGGTTTATGTTACCTGGCTTCTGTCTCTGATCCACGGTAGTTTTGAAAAAATGAATTTGCAAAAAGGATTCAGGTAAAATGATGATTGGTCGCAAGTTTTAAAGTTTCGTTTGTACCCCAGGCATATATGATATTGCTATTTGTTTTAGTATCAAGCAATCATAGAGTGGGCCGGTGCAGCACAGGGAACATCCTACTGTAAAATGTAAATCGCAATTAATTTATTATTACGTTATTCCGAATTTATAATCACGATTTTTTACGAACTTGTATTGTAATTATAAGTTCAGAGCCTGTTACATTTAATACAAGTACCAGGGAGCTTTGCTCGGGGAACTTTATTAGTATACTCTGAGAGTGTTCTTTGGTCAATGTCATCTGACCCAAAAATATTGTATTGCAGTCTGTTTGACTTCTGTTAAAATAATATCGTTGATTGAAATGATGTGAAAAAGGTTTCTTTTTTTTGTTTGAAGCCCGTTAACTGCCTAAACTATAAAACTATGCCTATAGCTTTGGAATAAAAACAACTAAAACTAATTTATTGACGTTCGTGTAATGCTACTTACTATCATTATCTACCCAAATCTATGAACAAATTGCCAATGCCAGTTTTGTACTTAAAAGTCAGAGTTATTGACCTTTGTTTACTAAAGACTATGAGAATTACCAACTTTATGCAAAGCCAGGGTTGCTGACGTAGCAGTCGTTTGTACCATCCATACCTCATTCGGGTCAACAAGTTAGCACTTACACGCAGTAAATTCATTTAACTTAAAACATTATTCGTGACACCATCAATCTTTTATCTCCCAACCCTCTACACCCTCTTGTAACAGCTCATGCCGTCATATATGTCGCAGACCGGTGTAGCGGTCATTCGTTATCCCGAGTGATAAATGATATATCGCAGCTTATTTGCAAGTTGTCCACTCCGATTACTTCGTACCGTGGACGGTCGACACGTCGTGTCCAGCGGACCGAGGGGCTGTCAGCGCGATCACGTCCACGGCCCGGTGGAGGCGGTGGTGCGATGGCGCGAACTGTGGGAAGCGATAACGCGGGAAAAGACAGATCGGCGCTGTAAGAGTGTTGGCATTTGTAAATGTGTGTTAATTAAACACTACTCCTCCGTTAATAATGGACGGATTTGCAAACGATGTGACAAAAATAAGTATTTTTTGTGTAGACGCCACCTTTTACCAATTCCTGTAATACACGTCTTCGGGCTTTGCCCCACAGGTAATCAAAATCCCAATTCACTTCTTATGGAGAAAATTTACTAAACCAGCTGTTTAGCAAATCTTACTTGAGTGGAATTTGACAAGTGTCATGATATTTTGTTGTTACAAGTTGTGTGTACATGTTGTTAGTTGAATATAAACAAACAACACATGGTTTAATATAAAGCAAGTACTTATTGGGTTGGAAAAATAAATAAATATTAGAATTCAATAATATCTTCCGTAGTTGAATAAAATGCCTGCCACGAAAAACAAGAGTTAGTTTTGAAAACCGTAGAAGACGAAGTCCGTGACCTTCATCGATTTAGACTAAAAGATGAGACTAATGATGAACGCCACATTGAGAGATCCAGGGTCTCATTCTCTTGGACCCATGATCAACATATGCAGATTTTGTGATGCATCATATTCCATCTTCTCTACGTTCTCTTCCCATGGCGAGGCACGGGCAGAACAACTAGTGTTAAATAATACCTATGGATATAGATGTTATTTTCAACTCGTAAAACTTCGAGGTCAAAGTCCTGCACCATGTTTACGCAATATAAAGAGCTCCATCGTGAGTGTAAAACTTAGAAACTTGGTGGTTACAATGATTGAAGGATTCCGGTTCGATCCTGAGTAAAGTAGCTTTTTAGGCTAACAAAGACAAAGTTCTAGAAAAGCACTTCCTCAGTGGTAGCATGGCCCACTGATAAAATAAGACAAACCTTGCTATATCAAAATTAATCTTTTCATTACCTCACCAATCTATTACACCAGAACTTGTAAGATACCAAACTAATATGAACCCATTTTAAGGACATTTTCCTAATTTCTGTATAAAGTTTAAAAACATTTCCTTGTGCTAATCAGATGACTGCCAAACTATGCATAACGTATTTATTTCCATGTTGCTAACTCATTGTTGGTATGTTCCAGAAGGCCGCCTTCGTGTGGGAGGGCGCGGGAGGCCAGCACGGCGGCGGCGGTAGTGCCGGGGTGTCCGGGGCCCACGGCAAGTGTGGAGGGCCTGCGGGAGGCCAGGGACAGGGCAACCTCGTCCACTGGATGTCCGTCATGGCTGAGCACATGAACAACGTGGGCACCAACCATCACGATGGCATCCACTACATGGCGTGGAACGGAGGAGTGGAGGTAAGCAGTTTTGCGAAAAGCCAATCAAAATGTTCTAACTCAGCAGCAAATCTTTGGGGATATAGCACCTGCGGGAATAGCACTTCTTCTCAGAGAGACCCAGACAATATAGCTGAAAAAACTAACAATATAATTGGAACTATAAAGTATCTTGAATGTAAACGTAGTTTGAAGTTTCTGGGAAGTCTTGAGGCTATCTCCTAAAACACATTTTAATAATAAGAGAACTGGATTTTATTAAATCAATGTATCCTTGGTAAAAATGTAAATCATACAAATGATCTCGTACATATATTTTATTCGTGACTAAGCAATCTATGCATAGCTGATCTCAATAATAAGTGTACCTTGAAGGCAATCGTTATTTACATACGACATGGAGTCCTTGCACTAAAATATCAATAGTGTAAATATTAAAACCATATTTCAAATTCTCGATTGTAAATCAAAAGTTACAATTTAAAGAGCAGCATTCATCTAGATCATTTAGCACACACAAATCACTCCACAAATAATTCTAGATGACCTTCAGATTATCGTGCATCTAAATTTTACGCTAGCAATTATTTTCAATGCAACACAACGTTGAGATTTATGTCAGTTGGTTTTCCTTATTCCCCAACGTCTCGAACGTTTGAGACAGGTCCGTTATCAATATCTCACTGAAGGCTGCAGTCTTGAGCTTGTCTAGCAACACATTATGCGGAGTACCTTGAATTGCACATAAACGCAGCCAACACATGTTGACCTATCTAGAATTGCCGCTAAAGTTGTAGACAACCCGTATCGTTGCAACTGTGTGCCAAACGACCGTGTCTTCGGAACTAGTTTGCAGAGCCAAATGAAACTTGCTTTCGAGAATGTGGCTCTATTCAAGACCAAGGCGGGTTGAATCAAATGATGATTCCGGAACAGGTAAAGTTGTGTAACATGTCCCACATTGGAACTTTCCCGATCATTGCCATAACCCAACCTTGGCCCCGCTTCACTTTCTTCCAATGAAACCTGCTCTTCGGTCAAGAGCAAGGAAGTCCTCTTGGTCTTGTTCTTCAGCAGGTTCTTGTACCAAACAGGAAAGCCGATTGTGAGGTTGTTCAACTTTTTGTTTACCTTCTACAAATTGATTCTCTTTTTTCCTTAATTTCTGGAAAACCATTACGCTATGAGTGAGTCCTTGGGTGCGTGTATATGTTTGATCAATTTAGCGTCTTTGTTAAAACAAATTGTTGATGTAATATTGGATAAACTGCTAGAATTGTCTCTTATATTTGTTGAAATGAATTTTATTTTGTTTTGCTCTTTCTATGGAAAAAATGTGTCGAATAGAATAATGTGCGTCATGCAGCATGCAATTTTTGGAAGAACGTTTTATCCATAGATAGATATGGATCCAGATCCTGTACTACTTTTATTTAAAAAACAACTCAATTAATTGCAAAACCTTTCAGCAGAGCTTTTCTCGTCATTAATTAAACAATTGTTCGGGAATTACAAGAAATTTTTACAATGCAGAAGTAATTAGACAAAATATCTTCCAGGTTAAATTTGAATTGAAGAAATAACGAGGTATATTCAAGTAGAATTATCTTCCATGGATCATTCCTACACACATTTCGCAACTGGTTTATTGGGGATCGATTTCGCCCCAGTGTTGATATTATTTTATGCAAAGTGTCGCAAGGGTTGGTGGAGTGGCTGGGAACCCAAGATGTTTGTTTTGTCGCTGCGGCCCGATGAGCTATTAGGACCAATCGGCCATCAATATTCAAACATGCGGTTATCATTGTGAGGCCATGGACGCCTGCTGAGCGACGACAGCTGGCGTACCTAGACTACCTAGGCTCTGTCTCACGGCATGCTGATGTGAACACTTCAATGTCAGACATGACGGATCAATAGTGATATCTTCATGAGGGGTTGTTGGAATACATTTTGCTAATGGAAAACGGGAGAGAATTTTAAATTCCTGTAGTCAACGTTGTGGTAGTTGTGCAAAATTGAAATATAGCGTTTCAGGGTATTGGGAGTTTCCGCATTTGTTCACAGATTTATCATAATTTCTACTAAATAGTGACGTCTTTGCAAATCTTACAATATATTCTCCTGCGTTACGTGAAAATTATACTAACGCATTTACCCTACTGTTTATGTATTGTCCTCTTTTGTTTTAATTTATGTACATTTTCAATAATTCTAATCGATAAATTGTCAGCTCACTCATGGAATCTTTACGAATTTACTAACTACTTGTATGACTAGTTTTCTGTCGTTAGAATAAATTTACAGTAAGTTAGTCGGTTACACATGGTCACCGTACAACCGTATATACGTTACGTTCAACGACACACAACGGCGCATGAAATCCCAACCCTTCGAGCCCGCGTAAAAACCATAGTTTTTCCCTCGTTTTTTCTCACCGCCCCTGAGTGGCAGTATCCGTTGGTATGCAAAAACCGGTAGAAAACAATGCTAGACCGAGATCCTCCTCTATATAATTAAACCGCTTTTATTACAGGTCGTATCGTATTTAAATATGCCAAACCGGTATTGTCCGAATGCAAAGTGCTGCGTAGAACAATGAGGTAGCTCAAGAAGCGCTCGCGGGATGATAGTCACTCTTTTGTTTACACTTCACCCCAACTTTATTAATGAAGGATTCCCCTACTGAGTCGTCCCGTTTGTTTTTTACCCTCGCCGTACCTGTTCGCCTGGGGTGGTGTGGTCACACTGGATGCAAATGCAGGTTTTTTCTCACTAGACTCGGCATTGTTCTTGCGGGTCTTTAAGCCCGTCTGTCAGGTAGCGGTGCATCACAAAAACGTCCTAAGCCGTTCTCGAGAGGGTTAAGCATGCAAATTATGTTTTTATTCGTTTGAAATAAAGGAAGTTTGGCTGGGTGTGTATGTTTTGCCTAATAGTGTGGGGTCGCTTTTTTGTCTTTGACGGTGACGACCAATGGGACGCTCGTATCTGTGGGAACTCTCCGGTAACGAACGGATGGTAATCCTCGCTTTGTCCTTGTAGATAAATGAGAGATGTACGCAAATTAATCGTACGGATATAAAATATTCTAATCTCGTCTCTCGCTTCTCCCCGTCGCTGTCGTCGGAACCGGCGGTTGTTGGAGATCTTCCTAAAAAACCAAACTTCCGTTAAGAAGCTGTTGCATAAAATTAATTCTGACTGTCCGTGTCAATCGATGGATCTAGGAATTCAACTGTAAATCTGACGGATTGAAGGAAGCGGGTTTCTATTTACAGTTAATACGTTAATATGGACTACTTTACTAAATAACTCGTTTAGCGTAAGCCAAATTCAATATTAATTTGGCATAACGTTAATTTTGAGTTTCTCTATTTTATGAAACAATAAATGACTCACAATAGATGTTAATTTAATTGAACCTGTTTTTGAACTTATCTTGTCATTTATGGTTCACTCAGAGAGTTTATATCCCAGTAATTATTACCATGTCTTTTGTTTTCTATATATTCAAGGTTAAAACCTTTTTAGATTTTTTGCACTTTGGTTACAATAACGGTTAAATAAAGTTTGTAATTTTATTTAAATTACTGACAATGTGATTTTGACCATTGAACTAGGAAGGAACACATCCAACCATGTTTCCCAGTTACCTATGTTCTTTGTATATATTTTTTAAATAGAAAATTCGTTTTATCCGTTACCATTAAAACAGCATTTAATGTATTTACAGTAATAAATTAAAGAAAGATAACAACCAATAAATCGATAAATCATTGCAACGTAATCAATAGTTTCACAATTCTCCCAGGATTGTATCCGGAACAATACAACACAATTCTAATCGCTATTCCAGCTCCAAATCTCAAAACAAAAAGAAACCTCTCAGACCCCGGGGAGGTGGTATTTTCACGGCGTATTTACGATTCTCTAACCACAGTAGGGCTACAGTAGCCGCGATGTCTATCTGCCGTGCTAATGACACAATATCTGGAGCTCTCAGCTGTTTATCACCAATCAGCTGATATTTACAGCTGATAATTACAATGCCAGCTGATGAACACATAGCCTCGCGCCGTTAACGTTCGCGCCAACGCCGAATTAAACCCGATTATCGCGTCCGACATTATTTGTAGGTTATGTTTCTGTCTTTTTGTTTCACTAACTCAATTGTAGTTGTGACGTGTTATTTATGTTGAACAGCTTTTGATTGTGTTTTGTTTTTGTTGTGTTGCACAAGTGTAACATATTCTTTAGTGATTTGAAAGGAACTGAAATAATGAAATAATGATTTATTCCACCATAATTACGTACATACATATAAAATAAAAACTCCGAATTACGTTGCCACAGCATCCAGTTACTATAGCCTCTCGTTGATGACATTTCATGTTTAGATTTACACCAAAGATTAAATTTAGGTCGGTGTTTTGGGAAAGTACACGTAAGCTCAACGCTCTTCAAGTAAATTGATCTAATGATTGGGGAGTATCCCGAAGAAAGACTATCCTTTACAAGAACTGATTTATCGTAATGCTAAAAGTTAATAGTGATCGGTGAAGATTGAACCATCGTCTCCATAATTTAAGTCCCGCTCTGTTATATACACCAGCGGCACCCATCGGAGTCTACATTACCCTTTAATTACAAATTATTTTCATTAATATAAAAAAATAAAAAAAAAACTACTGTTCAACTCAAATCCATTACATTACGAAATTTTCACATTGGCATTGCTGGGATTTGAACCAGGGCCTTCAAGACCAAAGTCCCGACCTAACTCACTCTTGAATGTAACATCTACCACAACATTCAATCTAAATAATGTTTAGGATTCACATTACTAAACCTACTCCTCGACTCGTCAAAACAGTTATTTCGCTGAGACCTCTAACCGCCAAATAAAGCTGTCAGTTATACGGGACGTTCAAAACAATATAATTACAGCTGCTTGAGGTGGAACCTGCGTTTCTCTAGGGGAAACAACACGTTCCCAATTAAATTTGATAATTTAATTA